TAATGATGTAATCATAAATCATAAAATTATTATTACTATTTAATCAATACTCTCACTTTTTTTTTTTTATTAATTAAATCGGGATTGATCAGGTATCTTTTCCCATGGGATTTATTTTTGGTTCTGACTTACAATTTGCTCTAACCTGGAATATAACTACAAAAATATTATGTGTAACTAACAACAAATTTTGTCCAACACTAATCTGTTAAATCATTAAAATTTGCAATGTTTCAATCAGCAACTGTTTTGCCACATTAAGCAGATTGTTACTTCTAGCCAAGAGCAAATACACATGTAATACACTGGGTTTTGGTTTTGTATTTTGTGGGGTTTTTTGTGTCTGTGTCTTTTGTTGTTTGGCTTTTTTTTTTCTCCAGAAAATTTACAGAAATCTAATACCCTAAACTCAGACTGCAATAATGAAATAGAGATATACAGCCACACACGGAGAAATCCCAAACAGTTTTTTTTTTAAACAGAAATTGTATGCAAAAGCATATGTTATGTGTAACAATCAAAAGCCCTAAAAGAAAATTAAACTCTTATCTTTAAAAATACTGCAGATCACTACATAGTCAAAGTATGTCAAATTGCACAACACACAACCTTCAGCTGAAATAAAGAACCTAATGAAATTCGACTGTTTTTATCAACAGCTGAAAATCCTTGAAGCACAGATTTTAGCCTCTGCTTCAATTTCTCTCATCTTTGCTATATATGAAGTTTGTATTCAGTTTCCAGTTTGTCCATGTATGCACTTCGTCCCATGAAATTCAATGCCAAACCGTAGGAAGGAGAATCTTACAAAACCCATAAACACAAGAATATCTACATTTTAAGTTACCCTTTTTTGCTTTCTGGAAGTTTGAAAAAGATTAGGACTGTGTATACTCTATTTCCTTTTATACAGCGGCAATCATTATCTCTACATATCAAACTGAGTATTCAGGATACAAAGATTTCTTTTCCTCCACTATTGACTTTTATTAAGAAAAATATGAAATGAAATCTCCCACTTCTATTTTTTCAGTTATGTAGTACTGTGAAGAAGTACAAAAAGTACTGCTTCCAAATTGTAGTCACTACTATTTCTCTGAAGGTACACAATCAAACACATACCAACTTCATTAAAATCTTCAAAGGTGATCTTGCCTGTTGCTTCTCGATCATAATCCTTAAGTATTTTCAGTACATCGGCTTTTTTCACATCAAAACCCAAGGCTCTCATTGCCACCTTTTGGAATAAAATGGAAGTGCAACCATATAAGAAGATTAAAATACGGATTTAACAGATTTATTTTTATTTTCAGTAATTACCTTCTTGCCCAAGAGAGAAGATGCATATCAGTGATTTGGCAACAATAATAGGTAAAAATCAATGAAAGGACAAAAGCACTGGACATAAAAATCACCTAAAACTGCTATTAGCAAATGGAACATCAAGTCACAGTGAAAAAAATAGCCTTTGCATTTTCAGGGATTTTACAGACAGGACTAAACGCTTCTTAGGACAAGTAGATTTATTTTCCTCACTTTCAAAAACATTTCAAGTACTGACCCTTTTTTAAAGATCAAACTGAATATCAGTCTTCAAATTGTTCTCCTTCAGTATTTACAGTAAGTCTATATAAGTTCATGGGTTTACAAGTCCTCTTACAAGTGACTCTATGGCTTTTCAAGTAAGCAACATAAACCAACCTATTTTTTATTTTTCCATTAGGTTAGGAGCACATGTTTAGTTTCCCATTTCAACTGAGATGACAATTTATCAGCACATGCTACACTACCTTGACTTCCTCCAAACTGTAGAACATACACTAAACCAGAAGTGGAAAACCACAATCCTAATGGAGCAAGTCCAGAGGAGGCCACAAAGATGGCCAGAGGGATGGAGCACCTCCTATATAAGGACAAGAGAAGAGAGTAGGGATTGTTCAGCCTGGACTAAAGAAGGCTCTGGGGAGACCTTACAGCAGCCTTCCAGTACCTAAAGAGGGCTACAAGAGATTTAGACTAGATATTAGGAAGAAATGTTTTCCTGTGCGGGTGGTAAGGCACTGGCCCAGGCTGCCCAGAGAAGCTGTGGATGCCCCATACCTGGAGGTGTTCAAGGCCAGGGTGGATGAGGCTTTGAGCAACCTGGGCTAGTGGAAGTTGTCCCTGCCCATGGCAGGGGGGTTGGTACTCGGTGATATTTAACGTCCCTTCCAACCCAAACCATTCTATGTAGCCATTCAAAAGTCTACACTATATGCTGATTTTGTACAGAAGGGTATAGCTCTTTTCTTTTATTTATGTATTTCTGTTCTTCCATAGTATTATCTTCCGAGACACAATATTTCATTAGACAGCTAAGAAACAGCTTTACAAGCAGTCATGACAGCTGAGGATTCCAGGCACACCATAACTGGGAAAAGCATATTAACAGTAGCGAAACAATGCCCAGTACTGCCCCCTCACTGTGGCTCCCAGCAAAGATAAAATAACCTGAACTCTGAAATAAAGAGAAGGGAATTGCTATACCTAAGACATTCCTGTAACAGCAATTAAAGTCAAAGAAAGACTTTTTTTTTTTCCTCTTTGAGTTACTTGGTAGAGGCAGAATGTGGAGCCACCAGGTTGGATCAGGTAGGTGTTCCTTCCCAAAAGGGTATCATCCAATACTGACAGAAACACTGGCTTCTCCAAAGCCATTTTTTTGTTCTTGATGCAGTATAATTAGAATAAAAATTCATAAAAGATTTAGAGATTTAAATAAACTTCATGTACTACTTCCTAGGACTCACCAGTAAAAACTGCCATCCTAACCTCTATTTGCTGACAGCTACCAACAGGAGCACCCTTGGTTGGAAAGGGAAATTACTGAGCCCCCCATAGGCACAGCAAATAGCACATCTCATTCCTACAATCCATAGGCTCTCTTTTGAAAAATGCAAGTGGGTGAGCTCTGGCTTGTAGTCAACTGTTTTACAACTTTGATTTGCATCTTTCACCTGAGCACCTCAAACCTGTGAATTTTCACAACATCAAGCTTTAGATTACATAGTGACTTTAAAAACAACCAAACAGCTTTTCAAGAGCTTGTCCCACCTAGTCATCTGTCCAAACTAAGCCCTGGGGAGCATTCAGGCCAGTGTTAAGCAGGATTCTACAGCAATTCTGTTACTGAGTCAAGTATACAGTGTGAGAAGAAAACTCATTCTTACACCAATCCAGTAGTTCCCTTTTGTTTTTTGCCTCCCGAATATCCTCACTCATTTAGCCCAGCAAGAGATCTTGAATGTGGAACATTTTTTTAAGATACAGCCAACATCTTAAAAACTCCCTAAGAAACAGATATATATTATCTGCCATAAAATTGTTTAAATGAAAAAAACTTTCACCTTTAATTCATGATAATTTATAGCTCTATCCTTGTCTGTATCAAACAACTCAAAGGCATCTTTAATTTCTTGCTTCTGTTCTTCAGTCAGTTCTCTTCTTTTCTTCTTTCTAGTTTTGTCTACTGAAAGCTCATTCCTATATAAGAAGAAAGAAATTAAATGTAATTGACTTCTACTGGGAAGATCCCACTGTAGATAAAATTATACACCAATAATAAACTTGCCATAATTGCACATATCACTGTTTCTCTATTCAATCTTCTTGCAGCTTGTCCTCCAAGGTTAAAATAACACTTGAAACAGAAAATCCCTTTGTGAAAGCTGAATGACATCTCCACTCCCCCCCCCCAATAAAATCAGCATAGGCAGGTTGGTTAATAAATTATAACAACAAAAAAAAGAGGGCAGAAAAACTGGCAGTTAAAAAGAATATTTGAGGCTACCAACTAGATTAGCAGTTGAAATTATATTTCTAATCTGTAGCTTACAAGGAAGAATTTTGTGACAGGCCACTGGAGGCTTAACTAGGCCAGACACTGGGTTGTCTGGCTACTAAACTGAGTGTTAGATGTCACAAATCGGCTTTGTTGCCAGCAACAGTTCTTAGATAAATGGCATTTATTTAAAATCCTTTAAACCACACACACACCTACTGTTCTAAAGGCTTTTTGCTCTGCTTTGGTGTATACAAAAGACACAAGCCCCCCCCAGATCAGCAAATCTTCCTCAAAGACAGCCCTCTTTTCCTTGGCTAGTCTAGAAATAAGATGAAATTTCCAGATAACAGACAGAAAATACATGATTCATATATTGGGAACAACAGTTGGAAAATGGAAAAGATGGCACTGATAAAAGATAATTTGGAACAAGTTAGTAAAGGGTAAATTTTGCTGCAACTGTGCTTCATTCATATCAGTCTGACTTCTGTATCCAGAGTAATTACTTGGAAGATGTCCATTTCAGAGCAAGAACTCTGAAAAAAAAAAAAAATAGTACATTTGAGATAAGAGGTGATAGCAACTAAGACTCTTCTGTCTAAAGGGAAACATTTTCCCAGTGAGAGTGTTTACATGCCGGAAGTTGCACTAGGAGACTGAGGAGTCTCCATCATCATAAATTTTTGGAACCCAGCTGGAAAACATGCTCAGCAACCTCATTCAGTTTGGAGTGAGAACTGCTCTGAGTGGAAAGCTGGAATAGATGACTTCTGGAAGTCCCTTCTAACTTCAATTACTGTATAATTTAGGTTATGCTCTCAGGACAAGGCTTTTCACACTCATTTGTTTTTCACACCAGAGGCAAAACGCGTGCTGTGACATGGGCTGTAAAATGCATGAAAATTACTGATGAGTGAACAGAAAACTTCTTTTCAAGGATAGTTACTTTCCAAATCTCCTGTAATGAGCTGCTTTTTCATCTCCTTTGATTTGCTATTTTCAATCAAAACTAAAGATTAAACACACAGCTGGTATTTAGCTTTCAACAATCACTGAAGCTACATCAAAAATTCCAAACATAGGTAAGAAAAGTGCAAGCTGCACAAGCTGGACCTGTCTCAGACTACAATATCCTCAGAGTGAGAAGTCCTTAGTAGACCAATTGGGAAAGCATGATTTTACACAGACTTTGAATTACCATAGCTTTTGGAAGGACTACAATAACTCTGAACTGTCTACCTAATTAGGACCCGGAGAGTAGCTCAGATCAGAGAGCCCACATTTTGTGAGCTGCAATGATGAAATCCGTTCAGAAGCCTGAAAGCAGATTAGCATGGAACCCTTCTGGAAGAAAGATCTAACTACTTAAGTGTTTATTTAATACTTAGCATAAAATAATTTTTTTTTAAAGACAGAGTAGTGCTTAAATTCAAGTAGTTTGGTGCCTCTTTTACAATCATTTCTACCATATCAAGCATGAGGTTCTCAGATTTGAAAATTAAAGATCACATATGCCATATAAGCATATTAATCATGCCTGAAGACAAGAATTTGCCAGGTTCAGAATTCATAAACCGGGCCCTTTTATACAACAGTTACTGAATCAGTATTTAAGAACAAAACAAACCAAAAATCAACAGCCTACCTTAACGCCTATTAAAAGGCTTTTTGAAGGTGTATTACTTCAGACAATCCCGAAGCGAACCTCTCAAAGCCCGAAGAGACCGGCCCTCCCCTCCCTGTCGGGTCTGATCCACCCCAGCTGCCCACTGCCCCCTCCGAAGGGATCTGACAGAAGCGGCTGGAGGCTGCGGATGGCCTCCACGGCCAC